CGTCAATTTAATATAATATAACGTTATAATAATTTTAGTACCACGTGTAATTTTCTAAAAAAGACTGTCAGAAAACTTTTCACACAATTTTGAATTTCAAACAATTTGAATTTGTGTAAAATACAACATTATTCATAGTAATAATTCTAACACAGTTGAACGAATAATTTACCGAAGATTATTATTATTAAGAGAAAGGTGCCGAAAAATGCCAATAAATTCGCAGATTGTCGTACAGAGAGAATTTATAAGGGAGACCTTCTCTTTTAGTTTCATAACAAAGATTCAGTTAAACGGTTTCACGGAGATAACAGCTGGATAGAAACGACTGGGTCCAACGGGCTGCGGGGTCAACGTGGCACAGATTCGCGTGGTAGGCATCGTGGTGCTGGATTCGCCAGGCGGAGTGCATGAAGCGAAATGAGAGAGATCGGTTCATGCACTCGTATGTAGAAGCGTACGTATCGCGAAACGACGAAGCGTAACGCGCATATACAAAGAAACGCGTGCACCCATACACGCACACAGCGAGCCGTTGCCGTTGGTGTTGGTCGATCAATATACTATGCTGGTGGAAGCGAGATGAGAGGAGGAAGCTGAGGGCACGGGAGAATGGGAAAGAGGAAGGAGGAGGCATGGTTAAAGCCGTGGACACACTGGACCGATATTTGCACAATGCGCAGACGAGAAAGTCGCGTGTTCGGGATTTTCACGCTGATCCACCTTGCCCTCCAAATCACAGAAATTAGCGGAGCGGCGTGTTATATCTAATAAGATTTCCACATAAGAGGGAAAAATGATTCCTCTCTGTACTATTGTACATTTTGGTATATAAATGTCCCTCGGATCGTCGTAAATGTCTGCAATTTTAACGTGATAAAAAAAAATTACATATTTGATATAAAAATTACTTTTGAGATTTTTACATTGTAAATTTACGTTTCTTTTTTTTTTGTTGCCATAGCAGCTTGGTAAGGTTCTTTCTAAAATTGCTGGGCAACAATTTGAAAATAATTCTTTCTGAGAAAGATTATTGGCTAGTGAATAAAAAATTGGATGGAATTACGGCATTCCAGCCTCTTTCATATCGGGTCTTCATCGCTATTTTCCAGCAATAGGGATCGCAACGAAGCACTAACATGATATTTTTATCCGAACAGCTATCGATTATCCCCGCAACAATACGCGAGGGTTTCTCGCAAGTGGTCAATATCATGTATCGCACGGCATGAACTTCTACGTTTCCAGATATGTTATTTCCACACGTTTTGACCAAGATTCAAAGTCAAATTGGCGACTTCGACCATCGACCACCGCCAGCTCTTTAAAGGTATTCGCGGGCGGGGTGATCAAAGCGCTTCTACATCGTTTGACTTCTACTTTCTCAGGGTGGTCCTCTTTGAGATGTCACTTTGTCGAGCCTTCTCTACCAACTCCGGAAGAATAGGGGTTATCGACCTGTCGTGAGATTTTACCCTCCCCCCCTTTTCCCCTTCCGAATTCCTTCCTCCGAAGACGCCCGTCCTCCTCGTCTTGTCTCGTTACGTAACAAGTAAAACTGAAGGAAGAGGCATGACGAAGGGGAACGAAAAGAAAAGAGAAAAGAACACGGAAAGGAAATAGTACAAAAGGATAGCTGAACAAGACGAAATAGAGGGAATTAGGCGAGGGGGTCTAAGATTTAGAACGTCGAAGAAGAGGAAACTACGCCGAGCGTTCCGCAAACATCTCGAGGATATCTCGCGCCAGTTACGCTGTTAAAAAACGGAAACCGTGCACGCGTGCGGTTGTATAATTTTCCGGTTCTCCGAGAAGCGCGCGCGAGAAACTGCTCGACAAAAGAGGTCGCGTTAGAAATTTTCTGTACGCCACGAGCGTGATTTTTATACTACGTTGCCGTTAGATCGCCGTTAGGTCCGAGGAAATCTTGCTGGATTCATAATTTCACTTGTTCCTTCCCACGCTCTTCTTTCTGAGGTTTTCGTTCTCGTGTGTTTAACAGGAAACTCTCGAATCTCGAACGCGCTCGGTCCACATTCGCGGTTTCTTTGACCAGAGCAAATATGTAGAATAGCGTTGTGTCGAAACCATAATAGCGCCTAATAGCCTTGGCTGTAGGAACGGCGGACCACCTAGCGTTAATCGAGCTGATCGAAACGTGTACACGCGTGAAAAGGAAGGGCGTGAACCAAAGCACAGGGTCAACGGTCTTCGCTATGTCTGTTTAAGAGGCTCGAATGAAACGAACGATCGACGACGCGGCTCCCACGATGCGCTATGCCGATCATCGAACCGGCGACCGTCGTCCCGGTGAAGCGTAACCCCGTGACCGTCGACCCTTATTAAAGCCACCTTCCTGCTCGGCCAGGTCGCATATAGAAACGTTCCGAAAATCCGAGATTAATATCGCAATCCAATCTAAATAGCTAATGACACTGAAGGAAGTTTCGAACAGAGTGATCAATCGTACACGTTCAACGTGACGTTAATATTTGTCCATCATGTGACGACGAAAAACGGAAAACTAATTCTCTCGAATCGAGTCATCGTTCATGTCTGAGATCAGAACGAGACTGGTAATAATTACATCAAACATATATAAGGTGAGATCGATGTCTTTCGCGGACGTGTTTCGTAAACAGACCCACCAGCAGGAGATACACACACACTGGGGAGAAAGCAGGACAAACGGAGAAAGAGACTCCATCCGACGAGAGTTATGATGGTTGTTCACGATAGCTCGTGGCACTGGGAAAACACACAGTGTCGAAATGTAAAAACCGCTAGAAATATTTAAAAAAATTACACGAACTCCTTCGCGTTTAACGCAAAATATCTTGGGGATCGATTTCTCTCAGGTCGATAAAAATTTATCACTTAAACAATTGAGAACGATTTCACCGACGATGTTACGAAAATTACATCATTTCGACTTGAATCCTAAAGCTTTGTCAATTACGTAAAAGTAGATCAGCGGAAACCGAGATTTCCCTTTCGACAAATAAGAATTCTCAGGAGTTAAAGAACATTCGACGTCTTAGGAAACGTCTCTGTGGCGTTCCCTGTGATCGAGATCGCTTCCCCGAAGAAGTCCAGAGGGAGTCCACGTGAAACTACGCCAATGCGGAAGAAAGACACTCTGCGACACTCATCGTCGCACCTTGTCGCGGAAGGAGCCTCTATCGATCCTCGCTACGATATACCTAGGCGACAAGCCGAGAGAGCAAGTAGAATCGGCGAGATTCGTTCGCTAAAGAGTTCATTCGGCGAGACCTAATTTAGCCAGCCTGTCGATACATGGAACACCTTTGCGGCTGGCGGTGTTCCATTGACGGCGAGATTAGAACGGTGGTTTCCAGAACGCGGTTACAGCGATTTGCCTGCGAAGACATTCACTTGGGTTAGATATACCTCGAGATGTAAGCGAGAATCGCTGACGAAACGCATTCGAAGTCGGATCGCAGTCACGAAATATAATACTTGATATTTCGTATTAATATTTTTGTTGATTTAAATCACTTAAAGGTCACTTCGTCCCCATCAAAAGAAAGCTATGATATCTAATTCAAATTTTCTTGAAAAAAGATCTTCCAATTTTTCAGAACAATCTCAGTCTTAAAGTTTATCACGCCACGTGTAACGTATTAAGCATATCCGCAACAAATATTCATATTTACATTACGGAAGAGAATTTGTATCAGATAAGTCGGTTAGATCATTGAGTGACGACGATATAATCTGCATGCGACACGACGTTAATTAAACGAATGCTAATTTCTGACACGACGATAGCACGAAGAGCACGTAGCTTGGGTTAATTAACGTATCGATCAAAATCGTGTTAATTAACGGCAAATAGTCTACTTCTGCATTGGAATATTCCCAATCAATCTTCGTGTGTTGCGTATGAGAGCGTTCGAAATTTTTTCGTTCAATCTCGCCAAGCTCTAAACAATATCTTTCAATACGTCTTCATAAAGTGCCAACTTGTTACTTGTCTACTACTTCAATCATTCTCAATTGTTATTAAGCTTAAAGAAGAATATTTGACAATTATTTTGGATTTTGTAACGTCGTAATACCTGTTATCATCAAAATTTCTCATTGACAGATCTTGATGTTGGCAGACAGTAGATGTTGCAGCAACATTACGAAATCACAAATGATTATCAAATATCTTCCTTCAAGCTAATGATAATCGAGAAACGATTAAGGTACAACAGTTAGATTGACAAGATTGCACTTTAGAAAAATGTGTCGCGGAAGAGCTCGGTGAAATTGAAATAAAAAAAAATGTCCAAAGTTTCATATACTTAATGCGTTTACACGTGGCGTGATAAACTTCCGACTAAGATCGTTCCCAAAAATTGGTAGATCCTTTTTCAAGAAAATTTGAATTAGACACCACACAGCTTTTCTTGGATAAAACAAAAAGTGATCTCCGAGTGATTTTTGAATGATTAAAAGCATAAATACAAATAAATCTGTTTCGAAACTGCAATCTGACTTCGAATGCGTTTCAAATGATCGATCCTCGTTTATCAAGAGACATCCGAATGAAATCAGCCAAGGATGCGATGGAAAACTTAGCAAAATGCGAATACTTGTTCTCTATCTATGCGGGAACATCCCCTTTCCCAATATCACGCGCGACCGATTTTGCAACGCAAGCATGACTCGATTTATCACACAGGACAGAGGGTTCCGCTCGTCGGGGATCTAATATAGGTGCATTCCATCCAGCTCTTTCCAGCCTCGCACCAGCTCACGATCAATCTCGCAATGGGATCGGGAAACATCTCGTCAACGCGACTCCCTCGTCAACGGTCACGTCCGACGAGAGATCGATCTGGAGCTCTCGCGATTTCACGCGAACGGTCCTGCGGCTGGTTTCACGTCGCATCGTTTGCCGCATGATGAGATACCAGAGATACCAGAGATGATACGAGAGAACGCGATAAACCCTACAGGATAAGGATCGTACCAGCGGGACCACTCACCTTGACGAAATGCAGGTTCTCCTTGTCGAGGAGGAACTCCATGGACTTGTGGGGCCGCTGGTGGATGGCGGACGTTGCGGCGGAGGCGACGTCGTCGCGGGGGCTCCTGTGCGTAGCGCCGACGGGCGACTGGGGTACGTGGAGGGCGTGCTCGGGCCGCGGCCGCGGCGCCGCCGCCGAGGTGTGGTT